GCCCCGCCTCCCGAGCCGGCCCGCCGGGAGCAGATTGGGTGCGAGCTGCCCGTGGTGCTCCTCCTGGCCGCCAGTAGCGCGCGGAGCTCCGGCGCGTTCAGTTAAAGTGTAACGGGGCAGGCAGGGCAGGGCCAGGCCGCCGCCGCCGCCGCCAGCTCCTCCGGTTCCACCGCTGACCATCCCGTCGATCCGACCGAGCTGCCCACGGTGAGTAGTGGGGACGCGCCCGATCCCCGGTCCACCCGCCCCGAACCAACTTGGCCGAAGCCCGGAGTCCCGGGCGGCCTCAGGCCCAGAGGTCGGGTAGGTTGGGAGGACCTGGTCTGAACGCCAAAGCTGGGGCCCCACTGGGCGCTGCGGCCGAGTCCTAGGAAACAAAAGCGGTGGGATGCGGGCAGCAAAGTCTTGAGTTCTTCTGGGAAACTAGTTCCTCGCAGGAACTAAGTAATATGTAATTCGTGTAATGAAACTCTCCCTTTTCCCAGATTTTTCTGGTCAATGTGTATTTCCACAAAATGAATCCTGACACTAACACTTGGGTCTCCGGAAGGCGGAAGCCTTCACCCTAAAGTTTGGAGGTGGGGTTCTCGAGTTTCACGGCATCCCTGATCTCTGAGCCAGCGTTAAGTGCAAATTCTGGTCCTCTCCTAAGAGAGCAGACACAGTCCCTCAGGTCTGGGCAGGGTCCAGGATCTGCGTTTAACTTAGACCTCCCCTGTAATTCAGGGCAGGTGGACCAGGACCATTGTTTGAGACAGTGGTTTGGGGAAAGGTTAATAAAAATCAGCTGGGCCAACAGTGGGTCGCAGAGCTTGCAACTCTGCTGCTTCAGCTCCACTGTTTGCAAAGAACAAGACCAACTCAAGGTCCGTTAAACTCGTAGGCCAAGTTAACTCCATTCTTTAGATGAAGAGGCCAAGACCTGGACAGGGATGTGGGACTTAAGGATGGAATTGTCAGGTTGTGAGAGGTTGACTTGGTCAAGCAGCTCTTTTTGTTGAGGTTCTCTGCACCAGGCCTGGCCTACGTGCCTGATTCAGATTTGGGCCTGCATGGAGTGGGAGCCAGTCTCAAGGTCAGCTGGGGGGCTCTGGCATGCACACATGTGGATTGCAGGTAACATTTCCATGGGATTAGTCTGATTTCTGACCAAAAAGAGTGATTCAGGTCTGGGGCTGGGCCACTCTGGGCCCCCCACTCAACCTCTCTGAGTTGCTTTGAGCCCTATGGTCCCTGAGATAATTTCCAGCTCTAATAGTTGTCTTAACAGTCATGTGCAGGGTGCTGGCTGACTGGTGCTCTCAGATTGAAGATGAGTGTGGTGAGAGCATGTTCAAGGGCACATGTGTCCGCCCAGCTGTGGAAGCACAGATGCAGACAGCTTCCAGCTCTGAGATTATGAACTTTGTCCCATGGTGCTCAGGAACCATGGCAGACGTTTGGGTGGTGGTCAGTTTTCAGTTTCAGAAAGGCCTCCTGCGTGGCTATGTCAGGTGGTGAGACCAGCCAGGAGGCAGCTGCTCACCCAGATGCATTCACTGGACCAATAGCTGAGTCTCTGCCCTGGGCCAGGCTCTGAGCTGTGCCAGCTTTACAGCCATGCCTCAAAGTAGGCCTAGCTACAGGAGCTTGGGCCCTTGAGTGTGAGGGCTTTGGGGACAACCAGGGGTGCAGAGGTTAGTCCTGGAGATCCAGTTTGTGCATCAGACATGTATAGTGGGTGGTAGAGAGGGAGGAGGATAGGGTTCTAGGGGAGAATTTCCTGGAGATGAAGGCGAAGAGGTGCTGCACCAGGAAAACCTAGGAGTGAGGGGGCATCCGTGATGTCACATGGGGCAGAGGGGCCAGGGTGGCCTAGTCTGAGGTAGGCCCTTGCTTTAGGTCTTTGGCAATCAGGAGTGTCTTTGGCAAGAGGGAGTGAGACAAGCATGGGAGGAAGTGGGTTCTGAGATGGGAGTGGAGTGGGGTGGCTTTGTTTCAAGAAAGGGCAAGGCTGAGAGTCCTTCTCCAGGGGATGAAGCTGGTGGGCAAAGAGGAGAGGGAAGATAAGGTGAGCGAGGTGCTCAGGGGGCTGAGCATCAGATAGAAGAGGAAGGAGGGAACCTGGGCAGTGGGTGCTGGCCGTTGGCTCGGGACACAGACTGAGCAAGCCCTGCCAGTGTCCTGGGTCCTGGGTTGGGTGTGTGTGGGCACAGAAATAGTACCACCTTGGCCCTGGTTCTCTGATGCCCACAGCAGTCTGTAGGCAGGACTCCAGAGTGGGCAGTCCTGAGGAGAGCACTTCAGCCACGGCTGGTGTTCTCTGTGGGCCGACAAGGTGTGTTTGCCTGTCTTCTCGAGGGGGAGAGGTCTGCCCTGGATCAGAATGTCATTCCAAAAAGTGTCCCTCCGTGAGAGGTCCTTGTTAGTTAAGCGTGCAGCCTCTGACGTGGCCTGCTGTAAGGGACACATTTGTTTGACTGCCTAAGCCCAGTAGCATTGTGACTTTGTAAACTGGAGGCAGGGCCACTGCAGGTCGAGAGGTCGAAGCTTCCTCTCTCTCTCTGACCTCTGGAAGTCACCGCCTGTTTCAGAGCCTCAGTTTCCTTTTCTGTAAAGTGGGGCAGATGAGACAGTGTAATGGCAATGCTGAAGTGAGGTGACTCAAGTCAGTGAGGGAAGCAGCCTTTGCAGATGCTCTGACCTTCCCACCTCAGTCATAAATTCTGCCAGATCCGGGTTTCTGGAACAGCCACTGTGCAGTGTGCCTTCAGGTCTGGGTATTTAGTAGGCACTTGTTAAATGCTTGAATGAATGAATGAATGAATGAAGGCACACCTTCCTCTGAGGCGGGTGCTTAAGCTTGCACCTAAGCCTGCCAGGCCAGAGAGCTGGTTTGGGCTTCCTCGTCTTTCTCCCCTTCCTCCTCTGGTAGGTGAAGCTCGCCTCTACTGAGCCTGGAAGACCACTCTTCCCATGACTCTGACTCCAGACCCCCGGGCACAGGCTCTGTGCCACCGCTGGGAGTTGAGAGGCCAGAATTTCAGATTGCCTGGCTGTGCTACTCACTCACCAGTGTTGGCCTCGGGTGAGGCTGAAGCCTCAGTTTCCCCTGGCCTGGTAGGGCTATTGGAAGACTATGAAGAGGTGGGAAGAAAGTTGAAGGACTTAAAGGTGCTGTGTAAATTTAGGGACAAGAGAGGCAGGACAGGAAAAAAAAACAAATTAATTTCATGGCCCAAATAGGGAAATTTCTTTGGACCCAAGTGCCGTGATGTCCTCGGGTCTGTCACTTTTATCAGACCTTTGTTTTTCTACCCTGTCCATCCCCAAGGGAACAAGGCCATTGGGGTTGTTGACAGGTCCCAGGCCCAGCCTCTGCCCACACAGGTGGAATTTTCCACTTCTTTTTTTTTTTTTCAAATATTAATCAAGGCACCAGCCGGTCAACAGTGGACTTATTGTCTTGTGAAGAGCAAGCTGTTTCTGGCAAACCCTGGCTACCTCCCAGGGCCCAGGCAGCCTGCCCGAAGTGGGGCAGGGTCTGTTGGGAGCACTCTGCCCTCGGTACCACCCCGCACCCTATTCTGCTCCAGCTGCTTGACTTTTGCAGAGTCAGTGGCTGTGCCTGCTTTGAGCCAGGAACTCTGAAGCCACACTGAGTGCTTGCTCCTGGTTCCCAGCAGGGCCACAGAACCGCAGACATCTTCTCTGCTCCAGTGAGGAGGGGCTGGCCTAGGAGCACACACAGGTGCAGGCTGTGGTGTTACTGCACCTCAGTACTACTCCCACCAGTTCTTAGGATGGAGCCCCGTGAGGTCACAGCCTGTGTGTACTTGCATCGATTTTCAAATGTGTTGTCACAGTGGGGCCTCGAAGGAAGTCCAGAACACAGAGGAGGCCAGTACTGTTTCTCTCTCAAAGCTCCATCTGTACATGGGTGACAGAGTCGGCCTCCCAGGGCTGGAGGGAGGATTACTGGAGATATCAGGGGGTGGAGTGGTGTGCATGTGTGGGGCTCATATGGCAGGGACAGCCATCTATTTCTTGATCAATGATACTTTAACTACTCTGTTATGAGTAATTTGCTGATAGTTGGAGCATCACTCTCTGTACTTTATGGAGGAGGAAATGGGATGAGTGAGGATGGAAGGAAGAGAGCAGGGAGGGACCCAGGCCAAGCTGTGAACTTGATAAAGCTGCCGCCACGTGCTTTTGACTTTGCACTCGTAATTCTTTGAAGAGTGGTTTTGGCTCTTTTTTCTTTTTCTCTGCTAACAAATCTATGAAATGGGCAGCTCTGTTCCCATTTTATTGATATGGAAACTGAGGCCCAGAGCTGCTAAACCAATAGTGACAGAATTGGGGCTGCAAACCAAGGATCTTGACCTCCATCTCTTTTCACTTTTTTAAAAAGTAGTCAAATTTGAACGTGGAACTGCAATATAGGAAACAGATACAGGAGATGCTGCATATTGGTGTGAGTTTATCTTATAAGTTCATATTTGTGGGTTTTTTTTTTTTTGCATATCATAGAATAGCGATGCTATTTCCCCTAGCACATCCTTGAAATGGGAACG